GCTAGAATCATGCTAACAACATGCTAATTCATGCTAAAATCATGCTAGTAACATGATAATTCATGCTAGAATCATGCTAGTAACATACTAATTCATGCAAGAATCATGCTAACAACATGCTAATTCATGCTAGAATCATGCTAGTAACATGCTAATTCATGCTAGAATCATGCTAACAAAATGTTAATTCATGCTAGAATCGTGCTAATTCATGCTAAAATCATGCTAGTAACATGCTAATTCATAGTGGAATCGTTCTAAAAACATGCTAATTCATGCTAGAATCATGCTAACAACATGCTAATTCATGCTAGAATCATGCTAGTAACATGCTAACAACATGCTAATTCATGCTAAAATCATGCTAGTAAAATGCTAATTCATGCTAGAATCATGCTAACAACATGCTATTTCACGCTAGAATCATGCTAATAATATGCTAATCTATCTATCTATCTATCTATCTATCTATCTATCTATCTATCTATCTATCTATCTATCTATCTATCTATCTATCTATCTATCTATCTATCTATCTATCTATCTATCTATCTATATTTTCATACTTTTTAAAACTGTTTAAACTAAATAAACTATTACCGTCAGGCTTTCACAAGCCAGCCTCAAAGTTTGTTCTCAAACTTTAAGAATCTAGTTGATTTATGGAATTGTTAATTTTTATTATATATTAAATGTTGTTAAGTGTGTGTGTGTGTGTGTGTGTGTGTGTGTGTCAATAGTTTTAAAAGTTACTGATAAATGATTTTGATTATTGGATTGTTGTACAGAATAGCTTTTAGTTTTATTGAACATTTTCACTTATTTTAATGTTTTATTTTCGTGTTACTTATTGTGAATTACTACATTAATATATTTGCCTTAAACTTTTGTAAATATAATTTTATGCAGACACTATAAATTACGCTTTTTAGTTCTACAAATGCTCTAAAACAGGGGTTTTCAAACTTTGGGCCGCGGCTTTATGCTTATGTCATTTAAATGCAGTTGACACTTTCGTGACACAGGAAAAGAAGCGCAGCGCTGCGCCTCTGTGCACGGGGACTTTCATTGAATAAGCGCTTCTGGCCGGGCGCTTCCTGTGATTTTTGGCGCTTGTCTCCTGCACCTGACAGCGTTTACCTTTCACTTACGCTTATCTCTTTTACGCTAAACAACTAAATGAATGCTCAGGTCTATTTAACTGACAATATTTCAATTAAAATACATGATCAATAACATTATCGGTGGCTGAAAGCACTTCCCTGTATATGGCTTGCGTTGCTAAGTAAGCGATCAGCTGGGTGCTGCGGAGTACGCGCCTCTCTGCCCAGGCTTCACTCATAGGGAACAAATAGCATTTTAAAGACACGCACAACATTGCACCTCGTCCACAGTGCGACAGGCTTTACACTTTGCATTGTACAAATACCAGACGGTCCTCTTTGCAGCATGGCAAACAAAAATAATAAAATTGTAAAGCAAAAAGTGCTGCAATAACAATGAATGGAGCTGTCATCACATCAGCGAGTGCTCAGAGTTTCACTCCTGTTACACTAATGACAGCTGGATGAGCTCTGCAGTGGACCTCTTACTCACATTGGTTCATAATGATTAAAACTAAATTTTATACACCCTGAGTAAAACCACTATAACCTATAATAATTATAATGTATCTGTTTGTGTTATATTATAGAGCAAATTAATTATTAAATATTAAAATGTATTAGTGCTCTGTATTTAATGGAGCTCAACATATCTGATCAAACTTTAATACTGATTTTTTTCAAGATGTTAATCCACTTTTTCCCATATTTATTTGTGTAATTTAAATGTAATGTTCAGTATTATTATTAATAGAACACACTGGTATGAACATTTTAAAGTCAGCAAAGCTTCTAAAATTAAGCAAAGTAAAACTTGTGGCTCTTTGAACTTGAATACCCAATTCTAGATTGCATTTAGGAAATTATTTTTTATCAGTGTAAGTCAGGATTGTCGACCTGAGTAAATTATGATGTGCACAAAAAAAAGGAATAAAAATAAACAAAACTTCAACACACTGAACCACTACAGCCTCTATTGTAGTATTGCTAGTTACAACAGTACAGTTAACTGTTAACAGGCTGATGAATGACAAAACTCTTTAAAACTTTAAAGCTTTAAATCTTTAGATACTTTTAGAGTCTCAGCTGTAAGGGTAAATACAGAAGAGTCTAGCTGTGCATAGGCAGAAAAAAAGCATAAAAATGGCATAAAAAAACTTTGTAAATGTGACGACTCGTACACAAAATATGTCTTGATGGAATCCAATGAGAACAGACCACAATGAACACTGCGCTTGAAGATTTCACTGAAACCATGTCAACTCAACTGACATCTTATAAAAATTAATCCAGATAGTGAATACTATAAATGTATTGAATAATATATAATAATATAAATGTATTGAATAATACAATTAAACATTTTTTAAGTACAGTTGTTAATTTGAGTTTTTTTTTTTTTTTTTTCATTTTTTGGGGGTCCCCAAAAGAATTCGCCCTACACAAAGGGGCCCTCAGCTGAAAAAGTTTGAAAACCCCTGCTCTAAAATGTGTATTGTGTGATATATTGGTTAATAATGCGAGTAGGTAATTGATCAAATGAATAGGAGTATGATGAGTTATTGATTGATCTGCAGGACACTGTGCGCTGGACCTGGAAAGGACTGTCATGGTAAGAAGGATTGTTTGTTTTTTTTTGTTTGTTTTTTGTTCTG